GGTTTGAAGAAAATTCTCCTTGTATAAAAATACCTGTGAGTCATCACGGGGAGTGCGGGTAGTTGGCGTGAGCGACGTTCTTGCCGTTGGGGAAGCTGAGCTCTGTTCCGGCAATACGAAATAGGCTCGCAGGAAATTCGCGTTGTGTCAAAATACCAGCGCATGGGCTTCTTTTTAGAGAAGCCAGGGCAGTCAGTCTCCTCCTGTTTGGAGGATGCTTGGACGCCCTATGTCCCAGCCCCTACGCAAACCTCTGTTCTGGCAGGCTTTGTTTGTTTGTCTGTGTGTGGTTTACAAGACAGCTGCATTCCACAGTCACATGAAAAAGCACAAGGAAAAGCACATTCGCTCCTTTTTTCTTTCCGCTCGGAGTCGTTCCGCCGTTGCTGTCGAAGTGGGGTAGCCCGAAACAGGATCGAGGTCTGGTTTTGTTCTGGCGATACGAAATAGGCTGGAACGAAAGGTTCACTGTCGCCAGATACCTGCGAGTCATCGCCGGGGGTGTGGGTAGCTGGCATGAGCGACGCTCTAGCCACAGGCGAAGCTGAGCTCTGGGTTTCTTCTGGGGATACGAAACAGGTTCGAACAAAATTCTCATTGTATAAAGATACCTGTGAGTCATCACGGGGAGTGCGGGCAGCTGGCGGGAGCGACGCTCTTGCCGTTGGCGAAGCTGGGCTCTGTTCTGGTCGTACGAAATATCGACGTGAAAAACATATTGTTTTCTCCGACAGTTGTTGTAAGGTTAGTAAGTGTGTTCCTCCTATCTGGGGGTTTGTTTTGAGCCAGCTGCGTATAGTGGAACAAGAGATGTGTTGCTCCCAGACCATCTCCCACCATGTGTATGTATGATTGGCTTGCATTATATACAGACATATTCACTTCACACTCAAGTCATTACTTGCAACGCATCAATAGCTGTGTTCGTTATTACATAATTATAGCAGTATACGGAAAAACTTGCAAAACAGTGATAGCGGTGTTCACGGGGTCTTAGACGCGTCGCTATTGTCGTGAGTGTACACGAGTGGCCTCCCCTACCGTAGAGCCCTCACCACTCGCTTTCTGCGACACTACCCCGGGTACCCATGGGAAGCAATGCCACAGAATACTACTTTGGTGAGTGCCCCAGGCCTGCTATCACACCCGGCCAGCGGTGTGGTTCCTTCGAGGGAGCTGGGTATGGTAGAAAATAGATTTAGTTTAGTGCTAAAAATTGCTATAATGTAAAACGTGTGCTTCACACTTGCGCATCCGTGCTGGTCGCTTAGTAGACGTGCTTTGCCGCGCACGGCTATTGCGTATTAGAGCTCGACGTCATAGTAAGTCGTCATAGTTAGTCGTCATAGTTAGTCGTCGTATCATGCCAATGGGAGTATATAAATGTAACATCACGCTAAGAGTGTGTATGAAAAACCAAACCCCGGGCCAGGCCCCCAAGCCCAATGTCCATGTCCAGCTAGATCGAAGCCCCAGCAAGTTGATCATTTATGCTTCACTCGTGTTGACGTGCAAGAAATACATCAAAATGTGTTGGCGATGCAAGAAATACACGCAAGCGCGCATCACAAGACAGCGGCACTCCACACTCACATGAAAAAGCACAAGGAAAAGCACATTCGCTCCTTTTTTTTCTTTCCTGAGTCGTTCAGCCGTTGCTGTCGAAGTGGGGTAGCACGAAACAGGATTGAGCTCAGGTTTTCTGCTGGCGATACGAAATAGGCTGGAACGAAAGTCTCACTGTAGCCGGATGAGCGACGCTCTGGCCACAGACGAAGCGGAGCTCTGGGTTTCTTCCGGGGATACGACACAGGTTGGACGAAAATTCTCACTGTATAAAGATACCTGTGAGTCATCACAGGGAGTGCGGGTAGTTGGCGTGAGCGACGCTCTTGCCACAGGCGAAGCTGAGCTCTGGGTTTCTTCTGGGGATACGAAACAGGGCGAAACAGGTTCGAACAAAATTCTCGTTGTATAAAGATACCTGTGACTGATCACAGGGAGTGCGGGTAGCTGGCGTGAGCGACGCTCTTGCCGTTGGCGAAGCTGAGCTCTGTTCCAGCGATACGAAATAGACTCGCAGGAAATTCGCATTGTATCAAAATACCTGCGAGTCATTACAGGGTTGTGGGTAGCTGGCGTGAGCGACGCTCTTGCCACTGGCGAAGCGGAGCTCTCTTCTGGCAATACGAAACAGGTTGAAGGAAAATTTGCATTGTGTCAAAATAATTGCAAGGCGTCACCGGGTTGTGGGTAGCTGGCATGGACGACGCTCTGGCCACTAGCTCACAGCTTTTGTTTGGCAAAACTCTGCGTCGAGATCTCTGACACTGCAAGGGCGTGCAATGCCCGAGTGGGCATTAGGGCTGGAGGTCGGAAATGAGGGTCATGAAACTGTTTCAAAGTACGGCACTTGTTCTTCGAGGATTCCGGGAGGGACAAGTCCTGTCAGGCAGGTTTTTCCTACGAATTCATGCGTCTTTTTTTGGGTACGGCTCCAAGTTGCGTGTCATGAGGTGGAGCAGCTGCGTTTGTGGTCTGACAGTTTTGGCATACCCAAGTTGGCAGGTGTCGAATGTGGTACTGGCTATTCGTCTGGGATGGGCGTTCGGCGCCACACCCTGCACTGCATGGTGGGAAGGCACAGGCTAGGCATTGAGCGTCAGCTCTGGCTCGTGCACCTAAGGGCTTGCCACAAGTGGAGCAGCACTTGTTTGCGCAGCCCTCGCATGTCCATTGTGGCTGGACCTTGGCATGGTACCCTTTTTCCTGCGGCCGAGGGCGGCCACACTTGTCACATGGTGGATAGGCACAAGCTTGACACCATGTGTCGGCTGTTGCCTTTCCGTGCATGGCTCGGCCACACTGACTGCACGCTTTTGGGAGACACTTTGCACAGGTCCACTCAGGCATGTTTTTCACATGGTAAGCACGGTCATCTGGGCGGGCTGCCCCACAGGCTGGACAAGGTGGGTAACCATCCCGACAGGTGTCACAGGCCCACTCTGGTCTGTTTTGGGCATGGTACTCGAGCTTTTTCTTGGGACGAGGCTGGCCACAACCACGACTGCAAGGTGGAAACGCACAGGTCACACACCAGCCCTGGTACTTTCCGGGGATGGCCTCGCACTGAGGCATTTTTTGGTAAGACATTTTTGACAAGTCCATTCTGGCTTGCGTTTGGCATGGTATTTGCCATTCTGGGGCCGTTTTTCCGTCCCGCACCCATCGCAGTTGGGGTATGCGCAATCCAAGCACCAGGCTCCAAGCGTTGCAGCGGCTTTGACGGGTTGGGAGCACTGGGGACAAGTCTTTGGAGCTCGTTCGCGCTTGCCTTGGCAAGCCCGACACACACCTGCATTGGTTTGAGAGCAGTAGTTGCGCAGGTGGGTTATACTAATGGCCTTATCGCGCTGGGCGCAGAGGCCTTGCTTGGCTGTGGCTGAAGGCGTCTTCGCAACACAGGTCTTGCAGCGGGCACGCCGCGCATCGTTGGTAGCTTTTTTGCGACGAATTTCTTCCGGACTAAACTGGTGTAGGGTTTTAGTGGGTATTTTTTTTCCCTTGTCACAGCTGGCACACGACAGACGCACTGTGGAGAGGCAGTGGCGACAAAAGCCGGGCGTTGTGGAGGGACCGTGTTTTCCTCTGCAATGCGCACATGCATCTGGTGCATCTGTTGGTGTTGGAGGCTGCTTTCCTGACTCGGGGCTTCGGCGCTGCGGGCAAAGACGGTCCATTCCTTGTTCCAAAATTTTATACCATGCTTCCCGGTCCCAGACGGTGACGAAGTCTCGAAGAGGTAGAAGTCTGTCTGGCATATTGCTGCGAGGGCTGCAGTTTCGGCAATAGAGCATGACGTCGGGCTGACGTCTTCGCTTGGGCGCATCTTTTTCAAACCGAGCTTTGGCTTGCGCTAAGGAGAGCTTCTTGCGGTGGAACTCCAAATACGTATGTGGACCAGTGAGCTCTCCGTTTTGAAAAAGGTTGGGGGAAAAGGCGTGGGTCACACAAACGTCTTCGCACCGTTTGACTCTTGAGAGGCACATGTATGCGCTGAGTTAGTTGCGCATCCCGTGACGGGGCGGTGTCCCAAAAACCCAGGGTGCATGCTTCCAACGTAGCACCCATGAAGGAATGCGCTGTTCCGGAATAGTCGGATGCCACTGGAAACCCTCTGCGGGCGATGGTCGCACGGCCCCCTGGCTGAAGGGTCCACTGCTGGACCGTAGGTTTGATGCACGCGACGCCAGGTGGCAGGGCTGGGTGTAGTTGCCACGTCGAACCCGGAATCTGGACGTAGAGCGCCAAGGGTAGTTTTTCCAGGACCAGTTCTGCACCGGGTGTCGTGCGGGAGAGACGTGCAATGTCAAGTTCGTGCAAGGTCCAACTGTATAGGGTGCCACGGGTATTTTTGAAGAGTCCAAACGGTTTTAGTTCTGGTAAGGTTTGGGTGATACGTATAGGCATGTTAGGCAACAAGGGCAAGATTCCGACAATCCCACCGGTGGCTTGGTCGTGCCGCTGCAGCCAGTTGCTTTTCCGAGCTTGCAACTCAGCCGGTGCATCGGTGTCCAAGTGGAAAAGAGGGGTGTCGGCGGCGATCACCCAAAGGATGGTTTGCTGTTGGCTAACTGCTACTTCCCGAGCTCGGAGATTAGTGGCTATGTATTTGGCAGCCTTGAGACCGTGGATGAATGGTTGCGCCGCAAACTTCGCGGACTTTGGATCCCGACCTAGCAGGCACCTGCGTCGTCTTTCGATTCGGCACTGGGGACATTCTTGTTCTAAGCGAGCTTCCCAAGGTAGATCAGGGGTAGTTGCCCACGCAAGGGGGAGGGTCTGGCAGGCAGCCGTGCCGCAGAGGCAAGCTTTGGTGTCGAAGTCCCACGCTCGGTACCGGGTCGGAAACCCATGGAGAAAGCACCATACATCCTGCGACATGGCACTGTGGCGTGCTTGTTTCAAGACTAGGCTTAGCCAGGGGTCCACGCAACGTTGCTCGGTGGTCAACTCGAAGAGTGCGTGGAGACCGGATTCAGTCCGTGACCACAAAACCTTTTGGAGGCTGGCCACCTGGCAGGAAGCGCCCCCGGCGAAGGGGTTTTGGAAAATGGCGGTGGCTTTCACAGGTGGAAACTGCCAGAGATCGCCTGTCAGGATGAGGTTGAGGCCGCCGAACGGTCGCGCCTCGCCTTTGCCATTGTTCTTCCAAGTGCCTTTTGTTCGGGTGGCTTGTGGGCGACCTTTTTTTCGAGGGTGGCTAGGACTTCGAGGCCGACTGTGGAGATTTCGTCTAGCACGAGCCAGCGCAACCGTTGGTACTGGACGAATTGGTCGGGCCCCCGCTCTCGTTCGCCGCCTTGGCCTTTGGCTTTGATGCGGATGTTCGCGAACGCATGGAGCGTCATGCCCTGAATGAGCGCGGCCTGGGTATTTTGAGGGGCTAGATAGACGAATTCCGTCTGGAGGTGCCACCCGCAGAGCTCCTCAAAGAATCGTCGGAGCCACTTCAACGTTTGACTCTTGCCTGCGCCGGGGACTCCATGGCAAATTCCTCTCCAGGGTTCACTCTTGCCGATCCGCTGGGTCTGTTCTTCGGTGGTTTCTGTTAAGCAGCGGTTTATGATGGCCTGCAGGAACTGTGTCTGTTCGGGCGTGGGCACGGGCCCTGTCTCCGCCTGTTGCAAACTGCGGAGCCAGTCGGCAGCGGCTGTCTCGTTCAGATTCCCATAGATCCATCGCACGGCTGGCGGCCGCTCCGCCGCAGCCGCGCGACGCGCTGCTTCGGCGGTGTCGGACGGCGGGAGTTCGGGTATGCCAGGGCTCACTTTCCAAGCAATCTGCTGAGCTGATGTCTGAGTCCCCCAGGTTGCTAGAATTTGTTGCACAGCGGGATTGCTGCGTTTAGAGTACTCGAAACCAATGCCTTGGGTTAACTTTTGGACAGTGGCCACATCGACCCAAGACGTGTCAACTTCCGGGTGGGGGTGGTCTACGGGGGCTTCTACTGGGTCCGTTTCTTCTGGGGAGCACTCGGCCGCGGCCAAAAAATTTTGGATCGTTCGTTTTGCATGGTGCGACACGATATGGGAGTGAATGTATTCTCTCCATGAGGTCTGATGGTTTCGCACACCGGGAGAAATTTTAGTGTGAAAACGGTGGGTGGGCCTATTGGCGGTTCGAGCTTCAAAGGACAGATCCAAAGCTGTTATGTGTGGCACACGCAAGCTCACGGCATTGGCGTCCAAAGTCCAAGGGCGAAGATACACATTCAGTAGCCGCGCCTGGTCCTCTTTCGACATGTCCGGACGAGGCAGTGGGCAGACCGTTGGATAGGGAACTAAGGCCTCGGAATGTCGTTCTAGATAGTACTCGGCTGCAGCTGCGAGGAATGGTTGTTCTGGCAGCCGTAGGATCGTTTCTGCTTGAGAAGTCGGTAATTTTTCTTTCCAGCAGTAGCCGCGTCCAAACTGCCACCCATCTTCGGGTATGGATGTGGGGTCATGGTCTGGCATCCACTCGCTTAAGCACTCAGCGGAAACAGGCCCTTCGTTGGGCGGCGGCCGCAGTTTTTTCAAGGTCCACCATTTTACAAATTCCCAGGGTGACAGATAATACACACGGGTATCTTGTCCACGCCAGCCGTAAACTTCCGACAGCTTAATCTCCGTGGTCGTGTATCCGGCTGGTTTGACTTTGTAGCGAATTTCGTTGCGTCCGTCGAGGTAGGTCAACCACTCTGCGCCGACGAACGGCACGACCGGGAAAGAGCGGATACACTCTGCGGCTGTGGGATCTTGGCTGTCGCCGAAACCGGCTAACATGAACTCTTCGGTGATTGGTCGGACGGAACATCGAAATTCGAGGTCGCCAAACACGCGACTGGCCACCTTGCGATAGTGGGTCCCGGTCGGATCTTTGCCAGCGTTGGTGTGGAGAAAATGCAATTGCTTGGCGGCTTGCTGGAGTTCTTTCCGTCCGACTGGTTGTGGCTTTTGCAAGTACCCTGTAAAGTAGCGGGTGGCGCGTCGTGCCGCTTGCTGCATCAACCGTTGCAGCTTTCCCGCGGTGGTCTGCTGGAGGCAGTTCCGTTGACACTCGGGGTCATGTGTCGCCGGACAAAGTGGCACCCGATAGTTCACGGCGGTGTGGGAGTTTCCGAAAAGCCACACGGAAAAGGCGGTCATGGTCCCCGACAACCAGGCGTCCTCTCGAGCCCCCAACCATAACCCTAAGGCATTGCGACGCCCCTTTGTGCTCACCTGAAAGCGGCGAGCGTTCCCCCGGCAGATCACGCGGGATAGCACGTTAGTCTTCTTAGGGAAACCGTGCTTACATTTATTAGGGGCCCCTTTTTTTTTGCATCCGGCTAGAGGGGCCCGAGCTTTGAGGGAAGGGTTCCATGGATGCCAGTGACACTGCTGGGCGGAAAATCTTGCTTGAGCTGCTTTCTTGTAAGCGTGGATGAAACATCGGGCTTCCTGTGTCACTACTTCGGGCGAGCGGGTCTCTAGCCAAGGACTCTCGGCAGTTGAGGTTCGAAGGAAACCTGGCCACTGGCCCAAAAGATTGTGAGTAGCTTTGCTGAAGTTGTCTTGCCATTCTCTTTCGAAGTAGGATGCTTGCTCCACGTGGTCGGCTGGATGGGGATGCTGTTCAGTGTGAATCCATTCCTGGAAGCGCTGCAACGCTCCAAAGTCGATGTGCTTGTCTTCGATTTTTTGGAGCAGGCAGCTCAATGGTTCCTGCCAAATGCTTTCTGCATACACATTACAATGGAAATGGGGTGTGGCATTAGCCTGATACTCGATGGCGCCACAAATGGCGCGGACGAACCCCAAAACCCCACCAGTGGGATGTGTGCTGTAACCCTGTGGATCTCGACAATCACAAGTGGGGCAACGAAAGCACATTCGGATGCCGAGCAGCTATACAAAAATGAAACGCACCATGGTTTGGAAACTAAGGACTACAGCCCAAGGATCTCGAGCTGTAATTTCTCTATCCAGGGATTTCGATCTCCGTTCCATGGCTTTCCCGCACGGGTGGATTGAAGCTTTCCGGGCAAGCGCTGCGGCCCGGGTCCGCTGCGCGATAGCGTGACAGTTTCAAGGATAGTGCATTGTGTCTCATGGTTGGCGAGATGGTGATGAACAAAGGTTCTCCAAATTCGACCCTTGCTCCGAACAAGTACCTACCAATACGACGTCGCACTTCAATGGTTCCAGGCATCGTGCGCTGCATGGATCGCACATCTTGCAACAGTTGGTTTTCGGGTCCGGTGAGGCCCTTAGCAAAGAACAATTTGCGTGTGTCATACTGAATTGGTCGTTCGCGACCGTCTGCGGAGACATACTTTCCGCGTCGCAATTTGTGGTACAGTCCTTCGGCTGCACGCACCCATTCGAAGACTGGCACGGGTTCGATCTGTTTGCGATGGGAGTTCCATCTTCGCCAGAGAGCACCCCCGCACACAGCAGCCCACTTTGAAGTGATGCGACGGAGACCGGGTACTAGGTCCCATGAGTTGCGAATGGAGCTCTCCACTCGACCGGTAATGTGTTTAAGGTGTTGCATGGGCCCCAGGACAGGTGCGTCTGCAACCCGGCGAAACTTGGGTTTCTGTGGGTAGTCTGGTCCGCTTGCCGGGGCGGGCAAACTGAACGGAAAGGCCCAGTGAAGAAAATCGGTGCGCCATTGGTCCCAAAAGTCTGTGCCAGTTTGGACCCCTAACTCATGGGTGGTGGTGGCGAGGTTGTTGACAAGGGCAACCTCTGGATCCCCTACGTCCGTGCTAGCATAATCGGCACTCAACACAGAGGGTCTCATTTTACCACTAAAGGCTTCTCCCTCTAAGTTGCAACTTATGTTGAGCTCGGGTGTGGCATGCTTGGATGGTAATTGGGGTGCAAAAGGTGCTTCTGGGCGGACCGCAGTCAGAGGCTCTGCGTGGGCCCTCTTTTGCGCACTTGAGCGACGCTCTGTGGCGGAGAGCGTGACGGCGACACTGCCAGCTGTCGCCGCGGGGGCCGAGCGACGCTCTGCTGCGGTTGCAGTCACCTCAGGCTGTGTCGCTCTGGGCGGATCTGTGCTGGAATTCGTGCGGTCCAAAGTGGCTGGGTCGAGCAATGGACAGGTTTCATGTTTCCACTCTCTCTGCGATCCGCACTTTGTCTTGGTCGGGGCTGTCTCTGTCTTGACAGATGGGGTGCCCTAAGTCCACCAGGTGTTGCAAGAGAGCGATAACTACCCAAGGTCGAATTTTGGCTCCCGATACCCACTCCAGTGCTTCATTGTATCGCGTGCCCTTAACCGTAATCTTCACAAGTGCTTGCAGTGTAGCGGGCGAATGTGGCAAGGACTCCCACGTCCGATGGCCCTGATGGGTTGGGTCCAAGGTCGCCATGATGTCTTCCCATGGCATGCTGAAGGAACTGACGTTGCCTCGGATGGCTACGCGGTGCTCTGCCTTGTGGATGTCTTCTTCCAACAAGTGTCCCCGGTCTTGTTCAAGGTAGAAGCACACGACTGAGGTCCACACGGGACAGGCGGCCGCAGCCTCGACCCAGCGAACTCGATGCCGATACAAGAGCTCTGTCGGGTATCCCAGCCAGTTGTCGTTCGTCAACGCCTGTGGCACGCCAGGTGCCCGCCTTTGAGTCATGCGCGTCAGGCAAGTGCGACAGAGTGGGACACGACACCGCGGGCACAGCGTGCTGGACTGCGGGGTGCACGTCCTGCAGCGAATATCTTCTGGGCAGCACAAAATGTTTGAGCCGTCGGGCAATTGCCGAACCCACTGCCTGTGCTCCAGGCGCTGTTCGATGGCTGGGCATAGGTGTCGTAGCACCAGTTCGCTCGAAAGCTGTCCTCGGTGAGGCTGGAGTACAAGTCCGAGACGGTCTGAAATCCAGTTTCTCCGTGGTTGGCGGCCACGTGGATGCGTGCGCAGCATGCGCAAATCAACCCTTCCATGTGTTGCTCTGTGACTTCTCGCGCCAAGCGGTGAAATGTCCGTCTGTCCGTGCTCCATCCCACCCGTGGTACTTGTTGCTTCTCCGTCAGAGCGGTAGTCGGACAGCAATTCTAGGGCGTGCCCCCGCAAAGAGAGCCTTGTGCGCGGTGCTGAGATGCGCGCGCAAACAACGCGTGGCATTGCCACAGCAGGTCTGTGGACGCTCGGTCCAGCGCTGTTGTTGCACTTGCATCACCCGTGCGTGTGTCCAATTGGGTTGGCAAGGGTCTTCTTTCGAGCACCAGCGACAACCTTGGATGGCGCAGTGCACATTGGGGAATAAGATCCCCGAAGTGTGATCGGCTTCTTGCACGTCGAATCCTGGCAATTTAGGAGGCAGCAGGGGGTGGTCCTTCAGGGCTGCGGCTAGGTTTTGAATCCGTTCCAAATCTGAATCTTCTTTCGTGCACCAGTGGCGATGAGGTTCCACTGTCAATCCCTGATCAAGATCGTTCGAAGACATGGATCCCTCCGAATCCCAAGATTCCACGCTCTCGACGTCTACGTCGACGGCTTCGGCCTCGGAGTCTAGGGCTGCCCCAACTTCTTCATGGATCTTGTCCCAGCCGAAGTTGTCCTCCGGCGCGAGACATGCGGGCTGCGGAGTGTCTTCACACACATGTGAGTCACGACAGAGAGGGCTAGTTGCTGACACGAGCGACGCTCTTGCCACTGGCAAAGCTGCGCTTCGTTTCGGAGGTTGCGAGTCATGACAGGGAGGACTAGTTGCTGCCTGGAGCGACGCTCTTGCAGCTGGTGAAGTTGAGCTCTGTTTCGCTGCGGCTTCGGCATCGGATTCTGGGGCTGCAGGGTCGTCCTCCAGTTGCGAACATGCGAGCTGCGGAGTGTCTGCAGAGATTTGTGAGTCATTACACGGAGGATCAGTCGCTGACATGAGCGACGCTCTCGCCACTGGCGAAGCGGAGCTCCGTGTTGGTGGTTGTGGTGTGCTTCGGTCCTCAGGGGGGGGTGCCTGTGGCGCCGGCAACGGAGGTTGAGCCGCCCCCAGCAACTGTTGGACTGCTTCTAAGACGGCTCTGGCACCCTGTGCACGAAAAGCTTCCACTAAAGGCGTGCTTGGGAAGGGGTCGCCGATGTTCTGGCTACGTTCCACCAAGTCGTAGTGGCCGGTGACACCCATGTCTCGATGTACGAGCTCCAACACGGGGCTATGGTGTCGCAACTTTGCATGCGCTTCCTGGTCGGTCAGGCACTCCATGGACCGGACCCAGTAATTCACATTCGCGTGAGCACCCCAAATGAGACACTCAAAATCGAACTGCTGGGTCAAGGCCCACAACTCCACACCGGGTGGATCGAATCTAACATGTCCGGCTGGAGCAACACTGCATGGAGTTTACTGAGTAAGACGACTTCGGTCGTGTTCAAGGGCGCAGTCTTGACGGCCGTCGGCTGTTGTCGAAGGAAGTGCTCACGCAGCTGCAATTCGTGGTCGTCGAACGGGACACACGCCGTTGCGACTGCGTCTGCGCGCGGCCCGTGCTGGGCCGCCAACAACCACTCAATGGCTTGCAAATAGATTTCGGCGGCTGTGCCATGGCCCGAATGTGTGCTGCCTTTGAAGTACCGGCTCACGGCGTAGAAGAAGCACCAACCGTCTCCCGGCATGTGCGCAACATTCGACCGAATTCGCGCTTGCAGCGTCTCGGCGGCTTCAGGATTGCCGTTCACGGCGTGCTGCTCTCGATTTCGGACCTTTCGAGGTAGGTACCATCTCGGTAGAACAGACACCCGCCCTGGCCCGGCACGAGCAGGAAGTAGGCCCCTATTTCGCTCTGCCGCACCACCTTGCCCTTCGCAGTGCGCGGCTTTCGCCTGCGTCGCCCTCGTGCTGACTCCCCTCGGGCGTTGCCTAGGCGTGCCGCTTGATAGCCCCCTGAGGTCAGCGAGGAGCCGCGACATCCGCAAACCAACAACCAAATCCAGCCACATATTTGCAGCGCTGCGCGCAACCGTCTCCGGGCCTTCTGTCGGCGATGTCCTTTGCAGCGCCGACCGCCTGCGGAGCGACTCTTCTGGATCCAGCCAAGCTTGCACGCAGTCGCTCGGAGTGCACGTCGTGCTTGCAAGCTGAAGACACAACCGCAGAGGTTGATGCAAAAGAATGGGTCCAGGTGTCTTGCAGAACTACATAAGATGGCACAGCAGCTAGCTAGAAGCCAAGTGCACAGGAACCAGCGACTGGGTAGAGTTCGAGTCCAATGTGTATGCATCGACATCAGGCGCTGGCGCGGCTCGCTTTGGAGCGACACAACACAGAAAATCACTCGAAAGAAACCGTCTGCAAATTCTTTTGCATCTGCTTCTGACGACTGGGTTGTAGCACCATGTACCTACTCCAACCTCTGTTTGGTGTCTGTCTTCTCCCGTTACCACTGCTGAGAATGCGATGCCACGCGTCTAGTGTCTATGCGTGCGCTGGCTAGAGCCGTGTGCACAAACTCAGGTTCTGCACTTCTGCTCCACACGCGCGTCCGCCGCACACTGTGCGGGTGACCACGCAGCTGCACGCACGCGCGCGCGTGCACCACGCACGCGCCCGACCCGGAGCCGAGAAGACTCGCGACCGCGAGCGGACGCGGAACAGACACGTCACACCCATCCCCGCACCAACGAGCGGACGAGGAACAAACGTGTCACCTCCATCCCCGGCGCGCATCTCTGCGCTGGCTCTAGTTTTGGCACGCCGGCGGTGCTGCGTTTGCTTTGGGTGCAAGTGTCTGCTGTCACCTCCACGTCCCCTCCATGGGTCTCTTCCCCGCCGTCCAAGACCCATTGCATGAACTGGTCGAGGATGTTCGTGCCATCCTTCTTGCCAGGCTTCACAATGCTGCCCCCACTAACAATGCTCGCAACCGTCTCAACGCCCCCACACTTGCGAAAATCCATCGCAGCGTCTCCCAACTTTTGCCCGGGCAACCAACCGTAGCCCGTCGAATCCACCAACACCACCGTGAGCGACGCTCTCGGTATGTCGGCTGCGCGCACTGCGGCGCCGCCGGTCTCCACGGCTTCAGCCGACCCAGAGCAGAGAGAGAAATCGAGTGTGCTTGGTTGCTCTTGCTTTCCTACGCTAGCGGTCTCCTAGCTTCGTCCTCTGACTCTCAGAGTTCGACGCTGGTTGCTTCTGGTGTCTTGGCGTTGAGGGCTTTGTTAAGGACCTTTCTTATAAAGTAGGTGTTTGTTTTTTAAAAAGAGGTGTTCAATCTGGGATATTATTAGAGTTTGTCTGGACCTGGAATAAGAGTCAGTCTCTAAACTGTCCTACGCTTATTGTCTTGACCTCTCTCCACACACCCATTTATTTACCGGCCAATAGGTTTGCAACCCGAAACGAAAGACGCGTGGAAAAGATTTCAATGTGTGCATTTTTGCCCGTTCCTGCTTTTTTCCAACCAAATTGTCACTGTGCCCGCAGCAGAGACGGCCCAAGTCGCTTGACTTGAAGTGACGACACGATGATCATGATTGCGGCCTTCACCTCGAAGTTAGATGCTGTGAAGAGAGAGCATCGGCTGCACATGGCAGCCCACCACACAGGCGAACACAGAGCCCTCCTGCAAGCCACTGGCAATGACAGACACAGAAGCGTCCAAATCCTCAAGCAAAGCCTTCTTGCGCTCGAAGGAGAAGTTCGAAATTCTGTCGCCAAAACTTCTCGAGACTCGGCTGCGCGCCACTTCGGCAGGGTCTGTCTTTTGGAGCCCTTCTTCCAAAGTCTCAGGAGTCAGCTCAGGCGGGCCACTGCCCTCGTGTTCCAGATAGCGCCTTGCAAAGGCTGTCAAGATGACAACAAACTCCAAAGCCTGCTTTTGGAAGCTGCAGCAGCAACTCACAAGAGGTTGCAACTGGTAGCATGACTCTTTGATAACCTCCATGATGCAATGTTGGCGTGGCGTTTTCGCATATGCCGGTCTGATTCCGCCACGCTCAGGCCCTGAAATGGCTTTTACAGAAGACATGTTTACCAAATAGGTTTGATTTTGGCTTCATGAAGGCGTTTCTGCGCAGAAGCAATTGTCAGACCAGTGTCGGAGTAAAATGAAAATGATGCGTTTGAGCCGCCTTTATGTTCACAATCGTGCCTCTGTTTTTTTTTAGGGGGACAAGTTTGGAGCACTGCCCACTGTGTTTGTTTGCAAGTCCATTTGACCAGCTTGCTGGTCAAAGATCAAAGGCCAGCTTGCTGGCTAAAAATCATTTTGTTTTGCTAGTGTTTTTGGCCCAGTCACAAAAGGTGTCAACATATAGTTATTCGGCCCTGGCCCTGCCCCAAATGGCTCCACGTGTTTCCAAGGCTTGCAAGGCTAAGGCCAAAAAGTCGTCCAGTGGCCGCGATCACCCTGTTCCACCGCTGGACCAGGAGCTGAAGATCAGGCGCGTCCGCTTGCCGGGCAAGGACTATGACCACTTCACTGACTTCAACGAATACTTGGTGAGCACTGTGGAAAGCCAGCCACAGGACCTTATGCTGCTGGTGTGGAATTCAGTTACGCTCGAATCTTCAGACTGCTTGTCGCTGAATTGCAGCGGGCCACGGCGGCAACAAGCGCTACCTGACATATTATTTTCTTGCGTGTGAGGCGCCCCTTGTCATGACGCGTCTGAATCTGTTTAGACCTTAGGTTGATGCTCAAGAACTTGCTGATCTTTTCCAACGATGAGTTCTTCAGGGGATTCCAGCCGCCGGCATGGTCGAGACAGGGTGACAACAACAAGGTGCTTTTCGTTTTCCGACATATCGGTTGCGCGTGCGGCAAGCGCTTAGTTCCGTAAATCTTTATGTTCTTCACTGTCTCCTACGTGCAGGTGCTGCTGCACAACGGTGCGTGCGACATCATGGTTGATGAGGTCTTGGTGATCTTGGATTGGAAACAAACGGTGGATACCAAGCCGACATTTGTTGAGCCAAACAAGATCTTTGTTTGCCGAGAGAAGTTTCACCTTTTGGAGCTGTATGGAAATACAAGCTCTGCAGTGGAGCAGCAATGAGACAGTTACCAGAGCTTGTCATTTGCTAAGTTTTGACCTGGATGGTAGTTAGCGCCCCGTGTCTGATACCATGATGCGAGTGAGGCGAAAGTCGGATCTGCTTGTTTCTGAGGGATCGAATCAGCTTGCTGATACCTTCCTGTCAGGCCAGCTTGCTGGCTTTTTTCTTGCTGTTTTTTTGCTCGCTTTTTAGGATTGTCATTTGATGCAAATTTTGGAACCTTGAAGATGGCCCAAAGTAATACCAAACACTGACTGTACAGCGCTTTAATCTCTGACACAAAGAACAAACAGCCGAGATGAGCAGTAAGTGGCAACAATGACTTTCTGAACCAGGTGCTTGATACGTTTTCGGGCCATGGATGACGACGAGGCTGGGGATTCAGTGAGCTTGCCACCCTCAGTCGCGGAGACAGATGATGAAGCGCTGCAGCAGCAGCAAGATGATGAAGACGACGTGTCTTTGCCGCCAGAGGTGGTGGAAGATGGTTTTCCTGAGGAGGCTCAGTGCTGCAAGAGGCGCAATTGCAAATCACTCTTCGATCGAGCAGTTTTGGAAACGTACCAGGCTGAATTTTCCCATTGCAGCCAAGCCGTGCGCTTGAACAAAACTTATGAGAAAGTCCGCGATGTCTTCAAGGCCGGCGGGTCTGACACGAAGAAGCCAATGCCATGGGCACTGCTGGGCAAACCAGTGTGCAGGAAGTTCTTTGAAACAATCCATCAAGTTGGCCATGGCACTATGGACCAAATGGTTCTCCATTGCAAAAATGGCCACACATCCTGGCCGCAACAACGGGGTCCTAGACTGCAAAGAGACGCTCCTGCCACCGATACCGTGGATGTTTGGTTCATGACGGTGTACAATGACCTGGCTGAACCTCTTGCCATTCCTGGTTCGGAAGGGCGGTTGGAATCTGCTGGGCCTGAGGAACAGCTGCAGCAACATGAAGTAGTGGACGGAAATGACCCGTTGCTGTCAGTCAGTCTCAATTTGAGGCGGCACGCGAGTCCAAAGACAGACCCGCATGGGCGGGTGCTGATCCCTAAAAGGTATTTGAATTTTGCAGATGAGTCTGCTCTATTCAACTTCTACCAGATCGACGAACCATCTCCGCAGCAAGTTTCCCGTAGCACCTTTCGAAAGGCATGGGGAAAATGGTCGAGGATCATGGCTTTCAAAAACAAAGGTGAGAACAGCAAATGCAACATTTGCGCCAGGTTGACAGTCGAGCGAGCTGAAGCTGTTGAGCCATCGGAAAGGCTACGTGTCGATGCTGCAAAACGCCAACATTTAGATTGTGTTATGGCTGATCGATCAGTGAGCGTGCGATGCAACAAGCTGGCATCCCGAGCAGATGTCTGGCTGACCAAGCAGAATCATTCCAGCATGTGCAAGCTGATGCTGGATGGAATGGATCAGTCGAAATTTTCCATACCCAGAAGGAAGGATATGAGTGGCACCTCTTCCTGGTCAAAGTGCTGGCGCCCGTCCATCCATGTGACCGGGTGCATTTGCTTCGGTCAATTCGAGTATTGCGCCATCATGAGACCTGACCAAGCCAAAGACAGCAACATGAACGCAACCATCACGTGCCGTGTACTCGATCTGCTTCACACCAAACTGCAGAGTCAAGGCCCGGAATACTCCTTTCCACCAGAGCTTGTGTCTAGGTTTGCTTTCAGTTTTTCATTTTGATGGTTAGTGTTGGCTATCAAGCTGTCTCAGTCCAACCAAAGTTTTGACCCAACCCTGGGCTTGTTAAGGTAGTGATGTGTGACAACACACCAAGAGAAGCCAAAAACGCATTCTATGCATCATATTTATCCACATTGGTGGGTAAGCAGCTGTTCAAGCAAGTGGAGTGCCATTTTCTTCAAGTTGATCATACGCATAATGAACTCGATCAACGCTTCAGCTCAATGGCCAGCGTGATAAAGGGAGCTGCCTGCTTGGAGGACATTGCTGATTTGGTCGAGTACTTGAAGGATCACATGAAAGCAGCTGTCAACAGAGAGATTGTGATCGAAGAGTTGACAAATACTATGGATTTCAAGACTTGGCTGGGAGATGCCAACCTACATGTCCAAGGGCTGACAAGTACCCACTTGGAGCCGCACGCCAATCATGTTTGGAGATTTACTCCCCGCACTGAACTGGCCCATGGAGCTATCGAGTGCCATCACCCAGATTGGCGTGGTCTTCCGGAGCATCCACAAGATGTGATCTTGACAGTGAAGCAGTACATGAGCTCCCCATCTCCATCCCAATGTCCGCAGCTGATTCTACCCTTGGCAATAAGCGAGAAATTGCAGGAGGAGAAGCTCAAGCCTGCTGCCCAGAATCAATTTAGCGAAACCACGCTGCAGGAGTTCCGGAAGACAGCTGAAATTTTTTCCCAGCCCCCATGGTCTATGCTAAAGGCCAAATGCTTTTTGGAGGACCTGTGTGACAAGAATCAGACCTGTCACATGTATCCTGGCTACAAGTTTGAGTTCTATTTTTCGGAGGATTTCGCAGAGCAGCGATGCCTTGAATCAGGGCGTTTGGACGCAGCTCTGCCACAAGACTTGGAAACCGCTGATGTTGAACCTGAAGCGCCTCCACGTCGTGTCATGGTTGTCAAGGGCAAGAACAAGCCGCCAAAGGCGAAAGCAAAAGTTAAGGGGGCTGCCAAAGTTCAAGCCAGCAAAGCAGTTTTGAAACGTCCAGCCGCAAGTGGCGTTGTTCAGCCAGAGCCTATCGTTGAGGCTGGGCAAGAACCAAGACCTGCGGGTCAGTTGCTGAAACGCCCGGCCAGCCAAATGGAGACATGGGCTGACAACTCTTCATATGCTGTTTTTGCAGGCCCTGGCGCTGCCCCAGGCCCAGATGGTTTGCCAGCTGGTTGCGAGTGGGGCTGCTCAAAATGCTACAAACGCCCTCCCGGGTGCAGCCGATGCAGGAAACTGGCCGATGAGGGCCGTCTTGACTTTCACCGTCTTGCCGATGGCAGGATCTACAGGGATCTCGCAAAGCGATGATGCCGGCTGCTGCTACAGCTGCAGCAACGCCCCGCCAGAAAATACAATAATAGTGATCGCGACAACTTGTTGTTGCGACCTTAATAGCCAGCTTGCTGGCCATTTTTTGCCTGACAGCCTCACTCACGACGCGACATGTTTTAACATTGTGACTACGATGCCTCTGCCGCTGCTTTCTGCTCATTGATTTCAGGTTCCAGATTGTATACATCATTTCTTAGTGAATTGAGAATTGTTGAAGAATTGTTGTTATATATATCGTTGTCCAGGCCAGGGTCGACATCACATTAAATGTGTTTTTCGGCCAGCAACCGGTGAGCCATGATGTCGGAGACCAACTCCGAGCTTTGCAGTCCAACTGTTTCTCTACCATCAGATGTCACAGATGGGTCACTCTCATTGCCTGACTCTTGTGAGGAGCGCGCAGAATCTGAAAGTGGCTTGGCCCCGGCCCAACCGGATACATCAATGTCCTTGGAGTCGGATTCGGATGTTGAGTTGCCAGATCCTGTGTTTGATTTCGACACGGAGAACATATCGCCAATTGCCTCTGCCGTACCTGCGCCTGAACAAGTGGCCACACACGGGCCGCAGGATTTCAATTTGTTCGCGTTGGAATTGTTTTCCCCTCCGCGCGTGCTTCCACATGTGAGATCCGTTGGTGGCCCATGCCGGATGTCCTTGGATATCCTGACCGGTTGGAACCTGCAGCACAAGGGAGTTCAAGACATTGTTTTTGGCATGTTGGAAGCAGGCAAACCCAGAATGGTTTTTTTGTCTCCGCCTTGTACCATTTTCAGCTGTTTGCAAAAATGCTTTCGCAATTATGAGAAGATGGACCCCAAAGTTCTGGAAGAGAGATGGCGAGAAGGTTGTGACCATATGAATTTGTCGGTGACCGTTGCTGAGCGGCAGGACCACAACGATGACTTCTTCATGTTGGAACACCCACAGCGAGCCTCCTCGTGGGAATTGGAATCCACTCAGAAATTGCGGGCTAAGCAGCGTGTAGGCAGATTTCGATCAATGCATGCTAGGCCTTCGAGCGCCCAATGGTAAGTTGATGAAAAAAAAGGACCCGCATTGTGAGCAACAATGCCTGGCTGCTATCCAAGCTGTCCCATTCCCAATGTGATAGGCAGCATGAGCATCAACCCATTGAGGGGTCGATGAAAGGTCGAAGCTTGAGTTGGTGGGCCCAACACTACCCTGATGGCCTGGTGAAAATTTTAGCAGAGAGTGTGAGCCACTAGGCAGGTCACAGACCAACTGCGCCGGATTGTGTCAGAATCTGCACAACTCACGCGTGGGAATCCTTAACCCTAGATGCGCGGATTTCCACGGAAATCTTGACAAGTCAGCTCGCTTTTTGCTTTTCAACACAAATCACCTTTTGGTTTTCCACAGGCCACTTGCGTGGATTCTCAATATCACCTGGGACTTGCGTCGATTTCCACGGAAATCTGCACAAGTCAGCTTTGAAAATTCCAAGTTGGACTTGCGTAGATTCTGTGTTTTGGGGGCTGGCCCCGCTGCGCGGATTTCCACGGAAATCTGCGCAAATCTTTGGCCGTGGAGTTTGAAAGTTGGGATTTTGCGCGGATTTCGTGTCTCAGAGCTCTGCGCGGATTTCGTGTCTCAG